GAGCTGTCCAGTGTCGGGTCCCCGGTGTTTGTGGGAGAGCTGTCCTGTGCCGGGTCCCGGGTGTTTGTGGGGAGAGCCGTCCAGTGCCGGGTCCCGGGTGTTTGTGAGGAGAGCCGTCCAGTGCCGGGTCCCCGGTGTTTGTGGGGAGAGCTGTCCAGTGCCGGGTCCCGGGGGTTTGTGGGGAGAGCTGTCCAGTGCAGGGTTCCAGAATCTGCCTTTTGTTTCAGTAAGCTTGCCAAGACCCCGGAGCATGGTGCATTCAAAACTGCATGGCAGCCTGGGGATGTGGCTCCTGATGCACTCAAAGCTGGGTGGCAGCCTGGGGATGTGGCTCCTGGTGCACTCAAAGCTGCATGGCAGCCTGGGGATGTGGCTCCCGGAGCTCCGTGGAGGGCACTATCCACATCGCCAGGGCCAGAGCAGTGCAGCCCACACTCCCAGCCTGCAGCCTGCCCCAGCTCTGGGGCCGTCCTGTGGCCAGTGTGGGCAGCTGGGAACTCACCCTCTTGCCCGCCTGCGTGGCTGTCGCCTGCTGCGCCCTGCCTCGAGTGCTGAGCCACGAACCGTCCAGCCCTTTAGCGCCTACGATTCCACCTGCGGAACCGTCCGTAGGTAGTGGCCGTGGCTTCAAGTAAATCGCAGCTGACTTGCTTGCAGGCGTCCCCAGAGGACTGCGCTGCTGAGGTTGCCACGCGGCAGCGAGGGCCAACTTGCTTTAGAATCTTCCGGAAGCCAGAGACCAAAACCGACGCTTTGCTTCTCTTCCACCTGTCACCTGTTTCTGAATCTCCTGCAGGTCAGGGATAGAAAAGTGGATAAAAGGCGTTTTTCAGTGTGGGTTTTGGTTCTTGCCTCTCGGTTTCTTTCGCCCACTGAGGGCAGGCCTGGCCCGTGTCCTGCCGGCGCCGTGGGTGAAGTGGCTTGGGGACCTGTGGTTGCCCGGACTGTGGTCACCTCGCAGGCCAGCCCTCTGCCTGCCTGGAGAACAGGACCTCTGTCTTTATGGGATGATTAGTGCGGACAATGACCGCCGCCCCTGGTGGCCTGGGAGGCAGCGGACCAGAACGGAATCCCGGCAGCATGAGAAGTCACAGAGGCGCGGATGGCAGCTGAATGGCCACAGTTACCTTCTGAATGGATTAAATTTTAAAACCTCCGTGCGGTGGGGAGGCCTTGCCAGGAGGCTTTGAGTGCAAGACAAAGTGACAATGTGGTTTTGTGTCTCCACAGCTCCGGGAGGAAGCCTGGCGGGGGTTTGCTGCCCTGGATGACCCCCTGGCCGGGCTTCTGGACATGCTGGAGAGCAGCCGGGGCCGGCGGGGAGAGGGTCCCTCCCTGGAGGCCTGGGTCTCCCACCAGCTGCAGTGCTGGCTACAGGCACAGCCACGACCGGACCCAGCCCAGGTGTGCCCATGGGCTCTGTGACCCTTCAGCACAGTGGACCTGGCACCCACCTGCCCAGGCCTCTGCAGCCCACTGAGCAAGCCGGGGAAGGGCAGGGGGGTGCTGGGGGCTGTGGTCAAGGCCTAGCCCGTGGGCTTCACCCTCAGCCCCCTGACAGCCACGTGCTGAGACCGGCCTCACCCCTTCCATGCCCCAGCCCTGCAGGCCGCCCGAGGCCCACACACAGCCACAGTAACAGGTGCTGCCTCCCTGGGCCAGGCCTGCCCCAGCCAGCCCCATGGCTCTGCCCCTGGGTGCTGCGTCCAGTAAGCCCGGGTCCCGGCTCTTCCAGCACAGCCCGAGGCTGGAGCAACTGCAGGCCCGAGCGGTCAAGGTCCTCACTGAGAGTCCCCCCAGCCTTGCAGCACCACTGGCCAGCATCTTCCAGCTACAGGATGCAGACCGGAGCTGCCTGCTGGAGCACGTCCACCGCCTCTACCACGAGGGCAGGTTCAGAGAAGTGAGTGGCCCACGTGGCTGGGCCCACGTGGATGGGCCCACAGGGAAAGGGCTTCTCGGGCGGCGGGGCAGGGTTGCGCCTGGCTCAGGGCCGCCTGCGTGATGGGGGCTGTGTGGGGCTTCTGGTCTGCATGGAGGAATCAAGGACCTGGCAGTGGGAAGCCCATCAGCTGCACGTGGGGTGCAGGGTCCCAGGAGCCCTTCAGCTGCCTGAGCCGACAGGAATGTCAGAGCACAGCCAGTCCCAGGCCTGGTCTCCCCCACCGACTCCTGGTACCACGAGTCCTTTCCTCCCAAAGGTGACTCCTGGCCCCCATCGGGCCCTCAAACTCACAGGGTCCTAGGTGGGCCTGGCCCTGAGCTTTGGTCCAGCCACACCCACCATGCCCGTGAGTCTCTGTACCCGAGAATCCTACACAGAACCATGCAGGCGGCTGCCCTCCGTGGGTGTTTGTTCGTCACAGCCTCCTGGGCGCTGGGTGCTGTCTGCGTTCCCTAGAAGGAAACACTCCTGGAAGAGGCTGAGCAGAGGGGCTGTGGGAGTGGCTGGTACCAGCCCTGCCGCCCACGGCACCCCGCGTGGGGCCCACTCACCGGGCACAGTGTGGAGTGGGCCGGTGCCCGGCACACAGGACGAGGCTTGGGGCCAAGGCATCAGTCGTGCCCGGCACAGCCGACCAGGCATGAAACGCGTCTGCTCAGCATCCAGCCCCTTGTCGGCTGCTGGCGGGAGAGGCGGCTTTGCTCCCTTGTGGTCGGGGGCCGGGTCTCCGCCGTGTGGCAGAAGTGTGGGTTTGGAGCTACAGGCGTCTGGATGAGAACTGGTGGAATGCTAGGAAGCATGGAGATTTGCTGAGCCTCCTTTGTGAGCAATGCTGACTCTTAAGCCCAGAGGATTCCAAGAGCAAGACCAGGCCCTGGAGTCACAGCCACCGCCCCCCAAGCCTGGCCAAGCTGGGACTTGGGTTTGTGGGGAGCAGTGGGGAGTGGTGGGGCCTGCAGTGAGTAGGGAGGCGGCCACCTTGCGTGGGGTGGCTCTGAGCTGTTCCTGCAGCAACAGGGGGCCCCTGGGAATTCTCGGTGCCCTGAGATTGCAGATCCCCGCGCACATTCCAGGGTGCAGCAGGAGGTGCAGCAAAGAAGACCAGCGGTGCCTTTCCTGGGAGTGCCCTGCCCGGGGGTGTCCTGCCCGGGGGTGCCCTTCCTGGGGGTGTCCTGCCCGGGGGTGTCCTGCCTGGCGGTGCCCTGCCCGGGGGTGCCCTACCCGCCTGGGGGTGCCCTGCCCAGGGGTGCCCTGCCCGGGGGTTCCCTGCCCGGGGGTGCCCTGCCCGGGGGTGTCCTGCCTGGGGGTGTCCTGCCCGGGGGTTCCCTGCCCGGGGGTGTCCTTCCCAGGGATGTCCTGCCCAGGGGTGTCCTGCCTGGCAGTGCCCTGCCCGGGGGTGTCCTGCCCGGACGTGCCCTGCCCGGGGGTGTCGTGCCCGGGGGTGTCCTGCTTGGGGGTGCCCTGCCTGGGGTTGTTCTGCCTGGGGGTGACCTGTCCAGGGGTGCCCTGCCAGGGGTTGCTCAGTCCAGGGGTGCTTGGTTCAGGGTACACTGATGATGTATAAGTAGGCTGGCATTCGGGGACATCAGTCCGCCCCCTGCCTTGTCAGGGCCCTTCAGGGACATGCTGCTGAGACGCCGGGCCCTGCGTGGGGGCAGAGGCTGTCCCGACGGCACCCTGGGTTCCTCTTTCCAGCGAGAGCCCCTGGCCATGAGGAGCCGCATTGGAACCTGGGTGCAGGCATCGGGGCTGCCTGGCTGGGCCCTCGGAGGAGTGAGCCGAGCGTCGGCCGCCCCGGCCCCACCCCGCACTGTCGCAGCCTCTCACGGCTGGTGCGTGGCGCTGAGAAGCCACGATGGCCGGCGCGGGACAATGCCGGATGGAGGGTCCGCTCATGTGGCGCGACGCATTCTGTGCTGGCTGAATGGCGGCCGGGCCTGGACAGTGCAGGGAGGCAGAAGGCAGGCTAGGGTTTCGGCCGTCTTCTGTTACAGAGCCTTTCAAAGGCTGTCTGGGGCCGGCTGAATGTGCCTCCCTCACGCTCCGAGGCAGGAATCCCCACACAAAGGGGGTCTTGTCCCGCACAGGCCCCTTCTGCGAAGAAAGCCATTGTCCCCAGCGGGGCCGCCCGGCAGGCGATGCATGCTCCAGTGCCCACCGCCGCGCCCGGCCGAAAGGGGCCGCATTCAGGCCTGTCCGCTCGGATTAGCTGGGACTCACCACTCAATGTGCTGCGATATTTCATGTCGAGGGCAGCGGCTGGCTCTGGGCGGGATGAATGCCTGCTTTTGTCCGCTGAGTTATTTTATTTACATTTTTTAAACAGCTTATCAAGGTAAAAAGATAGCTTTGCTTTAAAAAAAAAAAAAAAAGGCCATCTTGGCTCCAGGCCCACGCAGAGGTGGGAGGCAGGGCCGTCACTGGGTTCCTCAGCCACTAAGCCTGGCACCTGCCAGCCTTCCTGCCCCTCCGAGTGGGGGCCCAGGGGAGCCAGGGAATGCCCTTCCCGATGGTCAGCACCACAGCCCCTCTGGATTTTCTTGTTCTTTTTTTTTTTCCCTGAAAGCCATGGCTCCTGGGCCTGTGTGGCCAAAGGTTTCTGCAGCCCCTCCGCCCCCCAGCTGGACGCCTTAGCCCTCTCTTGCTAGTGGGTGCCTCCCATCCTCCGGGCAGCCGAGGTCAGGAAGTGCCGCCTGGTGCAGGGTGGGCCCAGTGTGCCCATCTGTCCTCACGGCCCAGCCCCCAGCTCATTCCTCCCTGAGGTCCCCAACTCTTCACCTTCTGTCTGCTCCCTGAGCCTGGCTCTGGGGCCGGGTGACCTTTTTGTGCCTGCTGAGTCTCCCAAGTGGCCAGGCATGGGCAGTGGGCAGCTGCACACCATTCTCCCAGGGAGGTTTAGACAAATGACCAGACGCTGATTCTAAGCCAGGCAGGATCACAGTGAAAGGGCCATGCAGGAGCCCTAGGGCCTGAGACGGGGGACAGGCCAGGGAGCTTCCTGGAGGGGTGGGTCTGCCACCTGCCACCCCCAGTCCACAATCCCCATCACCAAGGCCACCCATGGAAGCCAGGCACTGCCCTTGTCACGGTGGAGCTGAGGGAGTGCCATCCTTGTCCTGTCCCCTGAGCTGCTAGGCCCCTGGCCCCCACCAGGCCCCAGGTACAAAACGTGGACATAGGAGCTGGGGGCCCCAGGACCCCTGCATGTCCAGAAAGCCCCCCTGGCCACAAGAGGCCCTGGGTGCCCAGAGAGCTCCTGCGGGCCCAGCAGAAATGTCCAGACACCGGATTGCCCTGGGCTCTGAATGGCCGTGAAGAGAAGGGCTCAGCTACGTACCTTGACCCCCTCTGACAGGGTCGAAGGGTAGCCAGGGTCGCAGCCTGTGGGACAGGGAGGCCAAGCTGCCCACCTGGGGAGCACTGCTGTACCCAGCCCTGCCCAGGTTCCTCCCCAAACCTGAGGCCTTCTAGGGCTCGGAAGGGTCATGTTTGGGGGGGACCCACCAAGGGCTACGGCCTGGAGCCTGAAGTCTGTCCTCAGAGGGAGGCCGGGTGCAGCAGCAGTGAGGGGATACCTTGGCCACCTGCCCTGGCTGGGCCCCCACCCCCTCCCACCTGCTGAGGGCCTGGTCCTAAGGACGTGATGGAGGAAGCCCCATCCTCCACCCCCCTGCACCTGACAGTGCCCACATGGGGTGGGAAGGGCGGAGGGAGGGGGAGTCATGACCACCCTATGGTTCTGAACACAGTGAGGTGTCCGGGCCTGCACTCCCGCCTTCCTGGGTTCTGGCAGCTTCTCAAGGGTATCCCTGATCCAGAAGGGGTCAGGGCCCTTGTGAGAAGCTGCGGGTGTCACTGCTGGGGTGGTCCCCGCGTGGTAGCCCCTGCGCCCAGCCCTATGCCCACCTCCCTGGCCCAGCGCCCCTCCCCACTGCCCCTCGGTCCCACCCCTCGGCCCCGAGACCCCCGCCCGGCCCTGCGCTCCTCCCTGCAGACCCGAGATCCCTGCCCCGGGCCCTCCGCCCCTCCCTACGGCCCGGAGATACCCGGCCCCCCTCTCCCCGGCCCTGCGCCCCTCCCCAAGGGCCTGAGACTTCCTCCCCGGGCCCTGCGCCCCTCCCTGTGGCCCCGAGACCCCAGCCCCCGGCCCTGCGCCCTGCGGGCCTGCTGGAGGCCTAGCCTCTTGGACCCCGGCCAGGCAGTGGAGGCGCCGGGTCAGCGCTGCGCAGGGAGAGGCCCCCGGACGCGCACGGGGGCTGGAAGCCGGGGCTGAGGCTTTCCCAGGCCGCTATTTTGGTCCTTTCTCTGGGCTGCGCGGGGGCGGGGCGCCGATGCTCCGCGGGCTGCTCTCGCGGGTCGTTTTTGCTGGTTATGGGAGCGCGTCTTATGGAAATTATTAATAGCCGCTCGGGCCCGCGGTACGTGCGGGCGCTCAGGGCCCTCCGTGCCCCGTCGCAGCGGCGTGGCCTGGGAGCGCTCGCGGGGTGCCCGTCGCCCGCCTCGTGGGAACAGCTAGGACCTCCCAGGCGTCGGGGTGTGCTGAGACCCTGCCCTGGGGTCCTCGGCCCTGGCCCCTCTGCCGTAGGCGCCAGGACTGGGCCCCGCATGTGGGTCACGTGGGAGGCCACGGCTTTGCCCCTTGCTTCGAGCCCACCTCCTTGCCCTCCGCGGGCTCATCAGCAAGCCCTGAGCCAGGCCCTGTGGACCAGGCTGCGTGGCCAGCACCGCACGAGTCCCTGCTGCCCCATTTAGGACCAGCCTGGGCCTCCCGCCTGTTCCAGCTCATGTGAGGCCGGGCCTGGCGGGGCTCAGCACAGGGCGCTTGTCTGCCAGGCCAGGCCCCTCAGCCTGAGGGCCACGTGGGTGGACACGGGGAGGCCCCACAGTCCGCCGCAGGGACCACGCGCTGTGCAGAAGGGTGATGGCCCCTCCCAGACCCTGAGTAATCTGTGCCTTTGTGTTTGCCAGGCAGTCATGCTGGGCACGACGTTGAAGCTGCAGCCAGAACTTGATGTTGAAAAGGTGAATGTCTTTCTCATGTAAATCGTTTAGGTTCAAACTTGGATAATGCCCAGGTTTCCAGGAACAGTGTTGGTGGAGGTGGGGAGTCCAGTGAGCCACAGGGAGAGGAAAGCAGGGCCATCGGGAGCCCCCAGACCAGTCCTGCTGGTGGGCTGACCCCAGCCGGGCGCAGCCGCACGTCCAGACACCCCATGCCCAGCGGTCCTCGGAAGCCCTGAGTGCTCTGTGCAGCAGCCAGGCCACCCCTTCCCTGGAGTGGCCACCAGGTGCCTCTCAGGACACGCAGCCCGCGTACTTCTGGGACCCTCTTCTGCTCCTTGTCTCCACTGCGCAGGGGCTAGGGGAGCAGTCACCTGTCTAACGGACTTTCCAGACAAACTTCCACACGGGAACTCTGTCCCCACCACGGGGACACAGGTGGAACTGGGGCAGGGCCAGGTGGGGACAGGATGCGTCCTGGTCTGCCTAAAGAGGGAGGGAATCCTCACCACAAAGGCCTCAGCCCTGTGCTCTGGGGACAGGTGCAGACTCCAGATCTGCAGGAGCTGGGGCCAGAGAGGGTTCTTGGGCTTTGCCTTCTGCCCGAGACCTGTCCCTGAGGGCACCGCCATGTAGGTGGGCCCCATGCAGTCCGGCTCCAGGCAGCCTCACCTGTGAGGCGGAGGAGGTGGGGAAGGGAGGTTAGGAGACTTCTTTGAGGGTCTCTGTCTAAGGGGCCTGGTTCTTGCTGAGGGAATGGCTGGCGTATCCCAAGGCCCAGCACCACAGCCAGGGAGTCCCCACCCTGGGGCCTCCTGGAGGCCCCGACAGCCTGTGGGGCGTGAGGGCCACTCGGGGGCAGTGCTGGTGTCACGTGCTTGGTTTGTCTCAGTCCTGCCTCCCCAGGTTTGGTGACAAATGAGCTTCCCAGAGTCCCCCTGCCTCTTAGAGCCTCCAGGCCTTCATGGAGATGGGGGTGGCCATAGAACCTACCAGAAGCCTGGGGCAGGTGTGTGTGAGCACAAAGGCAGGCCGGGCCCCTTTAGTTCTGACACTGCGGCTGCTAACTGGGTTGGTGGGAGGTGACTGGGGTTTTGGCCGAGGTGGCGGAGACTGTGGCCTGACTGTGCATCTCCCCCGCAGATGAGCGTCCCACTGCTCCTCCAGGACAAGGTGGCCCTCGTGGAGCGCTACGTGGCCGGCTTCCCAGACCTCCAGAGGAGGCTGCTGGCCCTCATGGACTCCTGGTGCCAGCCCGGCTTTGACATCAAGGATGTTGCCAGGTGAGTCCCGTGGACGCCGACAGCTGGCACCAGATGGCACCCTGGTTGAGGGGGCAGCGTGGCAGCAGGCACGTGGGAGAGCTGTCCCAGGAAGTTCTGATGTTTGGGACACGGCTGCATGTGACTGCAGCCGGGTGGCTGCCTCTGGAGAGGAGAGGCTGGGGCTGGCAGGAGCACTGCTGTCTTCCCCCAAGCAAAAGAGTTACCTGTTCTTAGAAAGACGGAAGCAATTCTCGGTGGCTCACAGTGGTAATCCCAGCACTTTGGGAGGCCAAGGCAGGTGGATCACCTGAGGTTGGTAGTTCAAGGCTAGCCTGGCCAACGTGGAAAAACCCTGTCTCTACTAAAAATACAAAAATTAGCCAGGCTCAGTGGCACGTGCCTGTAATCCCAGCCACTTGGAGGCTGAGGCAGGGGAATCGCTTGAACCCAGGAGGCTCTGCAGTGAGCCAAGATTGTGCCGTTGTACTCCAGCCTGGGCGACAAGAGTGAAACTCCGCCTCAAAAAACAACTAAAAGAAATATACATGGAAACTGGGAGGGTGAGGAAGACCCTGCAGTGTTAGATTTCATTGCAGGTATTGGTTTAAATTAATGATTTTTAAAATTTGTCCTAGCTCTGTGCTTTGAAAGGGCCTGGATGCAATGGCACCCCATAGCAATGAGCACACCTGGCTGCCAGCTCAGTCACCAGGTGCCATTCCCCACCGAAAGAAGCAAGGGCTTTTGGAGAATGGGCTGAGTGTGGAAGTGACAGTGGCAGTGGAGTATAACACCTTAACTGTTGAAGGCCCACAAGTCCACATTCATGCCCAAGGGAAGAGGAGGGAAAACTCTTCTTTATAATGTGTTCCAGCTATTAGCTGAGAAAGGAATGATACAATTAAAAATCACCATTTTGCAGCTCTCAATAAAGTCATAGATTCAGGCGCAGATCATCAAGGGACGCTAAGAAAGAAAGGGGTAAAATGTGAGTGACCGGCATCAGGAATGAAAGGGGCTTATTACAGACCTTGCAGATATTGACAGGGTAGCAAGGGGATGTTGTTTGCAACTTAATGCAAATGTACTTGACCATTTAGATATAATAGGCCATATTTTTGAAAAATACAATTTACCAAAACTGACACTAGCAGAAATAGAATATTTAAATAGTCCTATAGAGCTACTAAGTAAGTTGAATCCATAGTCTAAAGCTTTATTACAGAGAAAACTTTATTAGAACCCAGATGGTGTCAGCAGTGAATTTCTCAAACATTTAAGAAAGAAAGTGCTTCATGGTCGGGTGCAGTGGCTTGCCCCTGTAATCCCAGCACTTTGGAAGGCTGAGGTGGGCAGATCGCCTGGGGTCAGGAGTTCGAGACCAGCCTGACCAACATGGTGAAACCCCATCTCTACTAAAAATACCAAAATCAGCCAGGTGTGGTGGCGTGCGTCTGTAATCCCCTTAAACCAGGAGGCAGAGGTTGCAGTGAGCCGAGATCACTCCGCTGCACCCCAGCCTGGGCGACGGAGTAAGGCTCCATCTCAAAAAAAAAAAAAAATGCCTGGCACAGTGGGTCACACATATAATCCCAGCACTTTGGGAGGCAGAAACAGGCAGATCACGAGGTCAGCAGATCAAGACCACCCTGACCAACATGGTGAAACTCCATCTCTAGTAAAATACAAAACTCAGCCAGGCATAGTGGCATGCACCAGTGGTCCCAGCTACTCAGGAGGCTAAGGCAGGAGAATCGCTTGAGCCCAGGTGGTGGAGGTTGCAGTGAGCTGAGATCGCACCACTGCACTGCAGCCTGGCAACAGAGAAAGAGTCCATTGGAGAGAGACAGAAAGAGAGGAAGAGGGAAGGCTGGAAGGGGGAAGAGGGGAAGGGGGCAGGGGTAAAAGAAAGGAAAGAGAG